ATTGTATCTTGCACCTTTAAATAAATTGCTTCCACAGGAAAAAAAAAGTGCAGACCATGATTTATTCAAACACAGCAATGGACCTAGCTGCTCACTTATCGCCCACGTTGGAGGGGGCTCTGGAAGCAAGGTGGAGGGAGGCCCTGGAAGCCCACTGCTGTGCCAAGTACACACAGATTTCATTCAAGTTACCCTTTCCACCGGGAGTGGAGATGCTGTACTGAAGCTTGACTGAAAGATACTTCATTTCTATCACTCGGTTACCATGGAATCCCATGCTGACACTAGTTCTTGGGCCAGGTTTCCTTCCCTATGGCCTTGGGACATTTTCTTGAGCTCTTGCACAATGTTCCCTGGGACAAACAACAAAACTGTGACATTCGGTCCTCGTGACTGCACAGAAAAACATTCAAAACTGACAAATTTCTGCACAAATCAGAACATGATTTTTTTTAAACATCTGTACTCTAGAGGAAGAACTTTTGGGAAAGTTGAGGTTGCACCAAATTGAATTAAGCACGAGCACTTTTATTAAAAGTTAGAGCCTCGCAAGAGGAATCCGCTGCGGGCTAGAAAGCAAAGCAACAGTGACTCTCCAAGTGGTTGGAATTAAGGGAACCTGATGTAATTTCATATGCTTCTTAGAGTGATGCATATTCACGATTGTGGTGGGAGGAGTTCAAGAAGCCTAGCCCACAGGTAAGGTCATGGTCACAGGGTGCCCACAAATTCATCCGGTGAGATGGATTCCTACTCCCAGGGCAAACTGAACTTATTATGGGATGGTTCTTCCTGTTGGTCTACTCTGGCCATGGCTACTGGGTGTGTCCAAGACCCGCGAAGCCATGTGCCCATTCCTTTGGATGAGCGAGAAAGGTTAACATATAAAAAGGAGCATGCACTTATACACTTGTGGCGCAAATTATAGCTTTGGTACATACTTTTTCAGTTCAGGTCAATACATGTTTTGTCTGCTAACATTATAATCATCATACATGTCCTTTCAGTTAATCCAAGGCATCTAGCAAAAATCCCTAAGATGGTAAAAGATGCCAGCTCCCATCCTGCCACTGTCTGAAACTCCGTCCTCCACGTTTCCCCAGGTCTGTATTTTCTTTCAGCGTTCGGCTTTTCTATTCTTCCACTTGTTAAGGATGTCCGGGGCACTCCTCACCACCCTCTCTCATGAACACTTTCTTGGGTGCGCTTCACTTTCACTCAATCTCTATGACATTCTGGGCAGGACCTAGGGCCCGAGACCAGGAAGATCAGCCAGCTGAGGGGGTAGTGAGTTAGGAGCTGGGAGTGATCAGGGCCTGTGTTAGTCTGGTAGACTAGAGAAACATATCCATGGAAACTCATAGGTGTTTTAGAGAGAGTATTAAACAAAGGGGAATTGTACATTAAGAAAGCCTCCCAACCCAGTTCAGTTCAAGTCCATAAATCTGATATTAGCCCATATATCCGATACCAGTCTATAAAGTCCTTTTCAGACTCACGAAACATATGCAGTGATGCCCCCAAATTCAGGACAATCACAGGCCAGTGGGTAGAAAGTCTTTGGATCCAGTGGCATTGTAAGCATCTCAGTGCTGGCAGGGGTCTCCCCAAGGCTGCTCCAGCACCCAGGGCTGCATCAGGGTAGGTCCATGTGACTTCTCCTCAGGGATGTCTTGCAGG